CGTGGCGGTAATTTAATAAGTAACTAGTTTTTGAAATTCCTTTATTATTTATCAATTAATTGTACTCTTCCGCGAATGTTTTCTTTTGAGCATTTATAATTAATTCTGTTTCTGCATCATTAATTTCTTCCGTTAAAAGTGTTGTTCATGATGAACATTTTTCAAAACAGTTATGTTGGAACCTTCCTACCCAGGCTAAAACCCGTGTTAACCTTCTCCAACTTGAGTAGCGGGTTGGTTCCAAACACCAGTCATCGCTATTTTCTTTGGATTTAATAGCCATCAAAGTATAAGTATTCTTTATTTCTAGAATTAATTTGTCTTCGATTTCTTTAGATCCCTTTGTTGGCCATTGGGATTCCGCTTGTTGGATGAAATCAGGCCCAGTCAGTTAACCAGTCTTTGTTAAACACAAGTTACATTTTTGTAAGTCGTTTATTTTTACTCCTCTAGATGACAAATTCGCAGGATTTTACCCTGTACGTTTTTTGCAGCAGCGTCAAAAACGATTCTGACTTTTGTGGTCTCCTTTTGCAACTTTACAACGCTGAAGTGAGGGAGGATCCATTGATTTTTGTAATCATTTTTGCTTACTTATTTGATATAACCTTTTGTTAAGCAGTTTCGTATTGTTTCTTTGTAAATTTCTTATAAACCGATTTACTGCCATTTTATAGTTGTTTGGTAACGATTTTGGATCCTCTTTCCAAGGTAGGCCAATTTGATATCGCCCATCCACATAATATGTCGAGTTTTCCGTTTGCTATTGGGCCTTTTTATTTTCAACACTTCCAGCTTGCGTTTCTGATGTTGGATAAACATTTTTGATTTCCCAAAATGTTTTTAGTGTTTCATTATTTTTTTCAACTTCAGAAATATTTTTAGTTAACGTCCTGGTGTGGCAAGTATAATGGTTTTGAGTACAGCCAAGCGCCCCAACACATGTCCATCCCAGTGGCATAAGTCGTGCTATTGGATCTCTAGTGCGTCCTTTAACTTCTGTTTTTGACGAGTGATTGCCTTTCAAATAACCATCGTAAAAATACACTTAGCATTTTTTTTGGTAACTTTTTCATAAGTTTAATGTAGAGTGAGCCATCTGCTAACTCGTCGAATTTTCCTAATTCTTTTAAATTTATGACTGCAATGTCCAACATATCAGCAAAGTTTTCAAGATCATTTGGGTTGTTTGGTTTTACTGGACTGAAGTTTTCCACTCTCTCCAAATACAAGGCAATTTTTCGTCGTTTGCCCCTATACTTCCTTTCGAATCGATCTTTTGCAGCTTCGTTTGCAGCTTTTCAATAACTAAAACTTTAAACAACTTTTAAAATTTCTCCTGATAAGTACTGGCGTAGTTGCAAGAGTTTATATTCCGGTGTAGCTGGAGCCCTATCAATACATGCTTTGAACGCTGCCTTCCAATTTTTGTATTGCGTTTTATCTCCAGAGAAGACAGGAATCGACACTCTAGATAAGTGCCTCCATAAGTCTTGTCCAATTTGTCTTTTCGTACTTAAGTCGTTATTTGTCGGTTGAAATTCAATACCTTTTTCACAATACTCTGTTATTTTTGATGGTTCACCTCGCCAACCAGTTACAACAGAGCGTGTTTGATAGTCCTTTTTTGCATCAACAATTTTAGCATGCCGTTTAACTTTTTTTTTTTTTTTGCCGTTCCATATATTTACAATAAAGACATATTTCATTTATAAAAATTGGCCGGAGCAAGAAGAAGACAATGACTGTCTTATCACCGAGCCCCGTTTACAAAATCGTGCACCACACCTTTGGAATAAAATTGTTTCGCCCAATTTTGACTTCGAACTACCCACTACTTTTCGTTTTTTTAAAAGTAAATTAAAAACCTTAATTTTTTCATTAGAAGACGTATTATGTTATTATTAATAATAAATTAATAACTTTGCCTTTTGTTATTTATATTTGTAAAAAGTTTATTCTTACTTATTTTGTTGATTTTATATTCTTTACTTAAGGTATACGTTTATATAAAATATTGGTGAGTAGATCCACGTGATCTCTCTTTAGATTATATAATATATATTTGGATTATATATATATGAAATTTGTAAAAATTTGATACTGTTAATGCTTGTTTGAACTTATTTAAGGTTCTGACGACAAGATCCTTTGATCTTCTTTCAGATACCTTATTTTATATTTGTGAAAGTTTATTATTATTATCATTATTTTTTATTTTTTTGGCAATATATAGTTGTAATACGACCAACAAATGTAAAATTAGAAAAAAAAAAAAAAAAAAAATGTCCGTGTTTATAAACAAATATGAATAAAATATACAAAAAAACGTTGAAGAGTACGTAACTTTTGTCAAATAATAAAATAACAATTATATTAAAAATTTAAAAATAAAGAAAGTTTTGTATACTAATACAAATATATTTGATACATATAACAAAATATATTTAGTGCTAATGAAAGCGATTTTTCTATTTTAAAATTACCTTTTAAAATGAAAAAAATTTAAGTCTATTGAATTAAAATCTAATTGAAGTAAGATTCTTTTAGAAACTGTTTTAAATTTTTCTAAAGAGTAGTGTTCTTTATTAAAGTTTTTAATAAAATTTTTTTATAAAAAAGGTCTTCGATATTGAATTCGATAAGAACTTATTTTTAAATTAATTCTCGGAACAATAAAGTTATTCTCTGAAAACTTTGTTGGATACTTATGAGATATTTTGCTAAAATAAGATTGAAGTATAAGTGGAGAGCTCGTTCTATTTTAACATTATTTACATCTAGATATTGTGAGCTCGTTCTATTTTAACATTTTTTACATCTACATAATCTTCAAATAATTTTTTTACCTTTGATTCGGTCTCTTCCCAGCTTTCGTTTTCATTCTCTTTTACAAACTTGTGCATCCAGCTGGTCATTTTTCAGCTTATCCCATTCCATTTGCAAATTTTGCTTCAAATGTTTTACATATCCATCATCTATCAATCCATTATCCATTAATCCACAACGCATTGATCCCATTTCCATTTTTCCCATACCATGTTGTTCATAAGCAACTTTATCGATGTTATTTTTTTTTTCATTTTTTGACCAATCCTTTCAAGTTGACGTTTACGTTCGCCACCATCTTCTATTGTGACAATGCTTGAAGCGTCATCTTTTCAAGAGTAAAGGTACTCGTGCGTCATTTCGTCTGCTTTCATGTAGGCAGACTCTATTACTTCAATTTCTTTTGTGACCATGGTCGCCATTTCAAATTCGTTATTTTTCCGATATTCAACTGAAAGGTCATCAAGCTTTTCTCAACATTTGCGAACATCGTTTCTGTTCGGAAGGTTGGAGTAAAGTAATTCCATTAGCGTTCTTCTCGTTCTCGTTCTCGTTCTCGTTCTTCTCGTTCTCGTAAACGTCACTTTTGTGTTTGCTATAGCTCGTTTTAGCGGATCCATCCGAATATGATGAACTCCTTCCAACTAACTTTTACTTTCAATATCGCTCATTGTTGTGTTCAATTGCTAGATAACTACCCTCTGCTACCAAAATGTTCGTGTGAAAGGGCGTAGGGCGTATTAAATTCAAAAATAATAGTGACTTATTTCAACATTATATATTTCGATTAGCACGTTTATAGAAACTTTATTCTTTTCTAAATAACTCAGAAAAACGCTATTTTTTATAAATTTATACACAATTATTTATACCTATAATAATTCCCCAAGAGAGATATTATAGGTATTTTCTAACTTTATAGTGATCTATATACAAAATGCGCTAATTGCCTAATTAGCAAAACAAATCTCTAAGTTCAATATATGACGCTTAGAGACGTTTATAATACAACTATATTATTTACATTGGGCTACAATTTACACTAATCGCCTCGTTGTTATTAAAAATAATTACTTATTTTATGCTATTAGGACGATCACAATATATATATATATATATATATATATATATATATATATATATATATATATATATATATATATATATATATATATATATATATATATATATATATATATATATATATATATATATATATATATATATATATATATATGTGTGTGTGTGTGTGTGTGTGTGTGTGTGTGTGTGTGTGTGTGTGTGTGTGTGTGTGTGTGAAGTATAATAGCGTTTTAAATCAATTTTAAACTGAATTATTACGAAATTTTTCGCTAACAAAGTTTGTAACAATGTTATAAAGTAAAGCTATTTTTTATAATTATAAAAATGATATTTCTCAATTATAGTTTTAAAAGCTTTTTCAATTTTAGTTTTTAGTAAAATTTGATTAAAATCTAATAAAAAGAAGTTTAAAATTATCAATAGTATTTATAACAGAGTAATTATAATTTTATATTTAACCATTTATTTTTTTGTTCAACTCCAATAAATGTAAAATATAACTGAGTATATTCAAAAAGTATGAAAGGAACAACCAAAAAAGCTTGTTTGCATATGCTTTTCATCTCAGCAATTTTAGAAGCAAAAAAGATATTGTAAATTGCGAAAAGTTACTTTTTTGATAACGTGAATGATGGAAATCTTAAGCATTTCATAAAGTTGCTTCATGTATTTGTGAAATATGAGTGATTAAAAAAATGAAATGATTTCCACCAGCTCACGGATTAGATAAAATTAAAGCTAATACTTTAGCACTATTATCTATAACAATTTTTGTAGCAATTGGTTTATTTTGATCAATAATTTTTAGGCTAAAAGTCATTGATCAAAAACGAAAAGAAGAAATTTCAAAAATAGCTCTTTTAAATCTTACGTTTTTAAAAAATCCTTCTATTGTTTTTAATTCAAAGAATGCAACTTGGGAATAAGCTGATTAATAACATTTTAAAATTATTGCTAGATCGTATATGATTACTTGTGACATTAACCTATTGTAATCATATTTGCATTTAAAATTTCTAAAGTTGTTATTAGTTACCAAGGAATGCTTTCTTTAGAAATTTTATCCATTCTATTTACCCAGCGTTTTTTTATTAACCTTTGATATTATGATAATATATTGTATATAATCTTAAAAAAAGAGACTTTTTTCTCTCAAAAATTATTTTAAATGATTTTGAAAAAATAAACAAATAAACAAAAAAAGAATATGGATGATTTTATACAGTTAGAGTTTCATAATATACAACAAAAGCAAGGTGCTGAAAAGGTAAGAGAGTTTAATGAATTAAGAAATAAATACAAATATATTCAAAATTCATTCATTATTATTACTTCAACTTCATGTAATTAGCAACAAAAAATCAGCATCCACAGAAACAAAATAAATATAAGTTCAAGAAAAATTAGTTTGTTGTGAATCTGCAACATCAGTAAAATTAGTTAGTTAAAATTAGTCTAGTTAACCCTCGTTGAATGCGAATTTTAAAAACTTAGGTGTTGTGAAAAGTACAAATATATGACAAATGTTAAATTTTTTGCAAGTATATGACGTTAAATTTCTACAATACTTTTAAAACGGAAAAACAATATTTTTCAAAAACCTGGTTTTCTATTACTAATTTCTTTTTTTTTTTTCTTTGAAGATTTCTGTTTCAAATAATATCATTTATTAAGTAAATGGCTTTTGTTTTACAATTCCTAACACCTAGGCTCTTTTATTGTCAAGTTTTTCATACTGTCTTTTGATTTAAATGCTTTCTTTGAAGTATGATTACAATTTTTAAAGTTTAAAAAAATAACATTGCATTGTCTACAATAGACTTGATATCTCGATTAACTTTAGACAACAACCCAAAAATCCACCTTAGAAATTTCGATTTTTAAAGATTTTTTAACCCATTATGATTGAAAATTCAATGTTATGTCGGACTATAAATAAATAAATAAATAAATAAATGAATAAATATATATATATATATATATATATATATATATATATATATATATATATATATATATATATATATATATATATATATATATATATATATATATATATATATATATATATATATATATATATAGCTTCACACAAATGTCAACACAAGAATAAAAAAAAGGGAATAAGTTTATAAATATCTTTTAAGAAATAAAGGGAAATCATTTATTTTTTATTAATTATTTTTTATTGATTAGGCTTTAAAAAAGTTTAATAAAACTTTTTGTTACAATGGATACAAATATAATTTCAAGTGTAATAATAAATAACAATACTAATATATAAAAAATAGCAATAAAAGTACCCACAAAATTGATCGTACAAAACAATTTAATCTTCGTCTAAACTATTACAAATATTTTGTTGCACCGTCACCATTTTTAATTATGGCTTCAAAACGATTCTACCGTTTCTTAAATAAGCGTAGGTGATGTGTCACCTTATTCCCTAAAAACAATTTTCTTGGCCTCTATTTTACTGGCAAACGTTTTTTTTATTTTTTTCTAATATGTAAGATTTCTCGCGAGCTACTCTACCATTGTAGTTATTTTTTATTAATACCCGTCGAACAGCTTTAACAGAAATTAGTTTATTAATTCTCTTGGACTTATTCTTTTAACCGTGACACACTTTGTTTTGTGTTATTTTTTATTTCTAGTAAAATGTAGCATTCATTTGTTTCAGATAAGATTTATTTTCTGCCTCTTCTACTATTATTTGTTGATTTTCTTTCATATCTAAATTTATATATTATATACTGCAGTGTTGAATGTCTTCTGCAACGACTTTTCCTATTTTTCTTATTATATGACCTTGAGAATACAGTTTTACAATAATTTTTCTTGTCGAACCATCCGTAATTTATCGAATATTTTCAATTATAATAATATTGAAATTCAGTAATTTACAGACCATAGCAAATACAAAAACTTTATAATTACCCTAGCAAACATTGTTTTAATGCAGTGGACCTATATAGGATCGATAGTTTTACGACACGTTAATAATGGCTAGACATCGGCTAGCCTTTTTTGGTGGCTGCCACTAATAGTTTACTAAGTAACCGATTAGCAAAACTACAGCAGTCAGCTGTAAATTACGCTATAAAATTTGATGAGACATTACAAATTTAAAACAAGTTATTTATAACCAAATTATTCAATAACACCATATTGTTTATTTACTCATCTTCTATATGGTGTTATTAGTAAATAAGACCATATAGTTTATTTACTCATCTACTATATGGTGTTATTATTCAATAACACCATATAGTTTAGATGATTACAAAAAATTGGCTATTGAATAAGAATATTAGTGGAATTTTCCTAATTGAATTGAGACCCAGAAAACATTCTATAATGGACTTTTAGTTAACTTATATTGGCATTTTGAACGGTCCACTGTAGTTTTGTTTATCAAAACTGGCTAGCCGATGACTAGCCACTATTAACATGTCGGAGAGTTATCGGCTGGACATTTATTGCGGCTGCTACTAATGGTCCACTAAGTGACAAATGAGCAAAACTCAAATCAAAAGCTTAGAATGTTTATATAGGTCCGCTTCAAATCCACTAAAACAGTGTTTTCTGGAGAGCATAGATGGTAAACATGAATGTATTGAATCATTCATAAAAATTTGCCATATGTGATACAGAATTTTGCTTTACTTTATTAGATATATATAGCTATGAAAGAGGCAATGATATTTATTTTTTTATTGAAAGCAAAATGGATAAAGCTTTAATGAACAACTTATATTTAATTTTCCCAAGAACTAAAAACAATCAATTGATTTGCTATATAAATGAAAAATCATTATAATTTCTCAAAAAACTAAAACAGATATTTCAAGCAAATTTCTCAAACAAATAAAACAGATATATTATTCAAAAATATTTGTAAATTCTATAGTAGCTAAACGAGGCAAAACGCGCTAAGTCTGAGTAAACTGGTTTTGAGAAAACAACAAAAAAACTAAACTACTTTTAGTTGCGCATCAATAGAAATTGGTGTTTTCTAAGTCCATTTTCAGGATCAAAAAAATTTTTATTTGTCTAGTATTTAAATAGATGATAGATTTCAGTATATAGAAGGTGGAAATGGAGTTAACTCAAAATTTTTATTCATTTGACTTTGCGCGCTCTGCAAATCATTATGCACTACCATTATTGCTGAATTTGTTTTTTTATTATTGGATTTTAGGAGATAATCTCTTGATGCACAAATATATTTATAAAGATGTGTAATGTAATTGCTTTCTTCTGCTGCACTAAATCCTAATGCTGCATTACTATTGTTCATAGTGTTGAGCATTGTCCCCATCTAGCTCACTTACGTTGGGCCAACGTATGTAAAACCATCGCAAACGCACTAATCAACGCACTCATCATATATTGCGGTTTATTACATATATTTTATTTTTTAGTTTACAATTATTAATCGTAATATAACAATATAACAATATATAAACTTGGTATATGAAAGAAGATCCAAATGATCTTGTCGCCAAATTTTTTATTAACCATATAAAATATATCATACGTGTATATATAATAAAATAAAAATATAGTTGATTTAATAACTATTATCAATGTAGAATTAACAAAAACTGAAAATAATTTTACAAATTATCCTGAGTGAAAATAATTTTATATTTTAAAAATATTTATATATATTGCCCGTAGAAAGAATATAGTTTTTTGATTTAGTTTTAAAAACAAAAATATTATCGCAATATTATTGCAATATTGTTGCAATGTTGTTGCAACTAATATTAGGTAATCGATTTTATGATTGTACAATGTACAATCATAAAATCGATTACCTAATATTAGTTAAGTAACTGAGGTTACAAGCATACTTTCATTGCAGTGTTACGACTTTACACTGCAGTGCAAGTGCGGCCAGGCAGTTTTGCTCGGCCCATATTAGCCATTACTTGCATGCGGCCAGCATACATGTCTGGCCAAGATACCCGTTGCAAACTTAACAGTTATTTATTTATAAGACTTTTTTAATTAGACTAAATAAAATTTTTTTTTTTGAAAACGTTTGTTATTTTAATATATAAAAACACACAAGCAAAGACGTATATAAAAAAACAAGCATTATTTTGGATTCATCAAGTTTGTTTGCAAGCTTACAATTAAATAAAGTTTAGTACTGGACGACAAAAAAAAGTTGAGGAAGAACTCACGTTACGGCGTACTTTACTTAGATTAAGCTAACTAACAGTACGTTGTAGCACCCTCTAACACTAGGTGCATCTCTGTCCGACTTCTCTATGCTATCTTTCTACCTCGACTACTTCTGTCTTTCACTCTAACATATCTTCGTTCATCCCAAACTCACTTTACTCTTGGTCCGTAAAGCGGGTTATGACACTCTTTGGGGAGCCGAACTTGCCTTTGCGGGCCTTGGTAATGTGGCCTCTATATGGCAATTAGACGGATGAGGATAAAACACAATACCAAACTTTATTACTTACATTTTACTTTGATATTTTTGTGTTTTGATATTTACTTTCTCTAAATTATTGTTTAGTATTTTTACTACTTTGTCTATATTTCTTTGTCATGACTGGGCTTAAAATGTTTTGTCTTGTTATACATATACTGTTTTCATCTTAAACTTAGGGTCAAGTGTTTCTAAAAGAAATAAAATATTTTTAAAGTTCGAAAAGACGTCACTCTGTCAAATTGTTAGCCGTGTAAGTTTTATTGAGAATATTACGAGATTATTGCCCAATATAATTGCAATTTTATTGATAATATTGCAATATTATTGCTCAATATATTGCCAATCCATTGCAAGATATTGGCCAAAATAGTCAATATTGTAATATTATTGCACAATATATTGCCAATCCATTGCAAGACATTGGCAATATTGGCCAATATTTATGCAATATTATTTCAATATTTTCAAAAAAATGTTGATTCGTGTCCATTCGGATGTCTATTAGCTAGCCAACCTATAATCCAGTTAATTAGCTGGCCTAAAATACCATAGGTATGAATCTTAGGAAGAAGTTGTTGTGTGACAATGTATTGAATGTTTTGGCAAAGGTTTTTAACTAGGTTTCCACGGTAACCTGCTTCCATTAAACTGTTGCGGGATTCAATTAGGTTTCTATTTTAATTCAATTAGGCAATTAGATTTCTATTTTAATTCAATTATTTTAATTCAATTAGGCAGACATTATGATGTACAAGACATGAGGTTTTTCTTAAGATTCTATTAATATGTATCACAAGCTGAAATAA